TTTTATGAGGCTTTTCAGTTGGAAAGTCCTCTTAATGTTTGATTGTGATGTATCTGAGAGGTTGAAGTCTAGTATAAGTGGATCATGCCTTCACAGTGGAGGATTTAGTTGGCTTGGGAAAGGCTTAGTAGTTCACAAGCAATGAAGTTATTGTTAGGCTATAGTGAGTCAGTTGGCCTGGGACACCATGGGATTCGGATGCGACGTTTCCAACCACTTTAGTGGCCTAGATGTATCGATTTCATTCAAAGAACCCTCCTTGAGAAAATGTAAGGCAGTGATGGTTCGTATGGATGCTGGATTCATTCTTACACGACCTTTTCAAGTAACTGTTAGCTGTTAACTTTCTAGGTTGTAGCATGCCCTGTGCTTATAAGTATTTTGCGGGAGTTGGCTCTGAAGCTCCGGAAGGACCTTTTGATTTTCAGGAATGATCAGAGTATCTCCATCCCAGGTGATTCACGAATTGTCAACGGACGAAGAGCCAGCAGTCGAAGAGAAAGCATTCTCCCCAGGAAAGGCCGCCGCCAGGAGGTTACTCAATTATATTTTATTCTGTCATGAATAATGGGAGAGTTAGGAAACACCCATACATGGACACTGAAGGTTGAGCTATTATCTGGAGAATGACTTCTCGAATGCAGGGAACCTGTATCCGATGGTAAAACATTGGTGTAGGTGTTGCTCCCTTGGTCGTGACCGTAGTCGTAAATCACGAATTACTCAGTAATTACTTCATTGAAGCTCCTGAGTTCAGTCCGTTTCCCTAACTGTAGACATGTCTTGGCCTCATTAGAGCTAAATAAACGTTTACTGTATGCCTGGACGAACACCAGGAATAGAGTGGACGGGCGCTATTCCTGGATGACTAATCCCTGAAATAGAGTAGCGCCCGTCCATTCTATGCCTGGGATTCGTCCAGGCATACAGAAAACGAATTGACTTCCATTCATTCGTTTCATGCTTGAATGCGTATTTTTCCCTACGAAAACCCATTGGAGCCAGCCCTTTGACGATAGCTTTTATGCTCTCATACAAGTTGGTACCAACTGACCGATCACAGAGAGATTGGAGGCTTAAATGATTTGGGCTTACACCGGCTTATGATTCGACCCATAAATGTCAAGTGTCCACTCTACGTCTTCGAGAAATCCGCCTCCCTAGAACCTTCGACCTGGTTGAAAAAATCATATTGTACTAGAAAAAGTTAGAGTTCTGTCTTCTTGACTTATTTTCTTGAACTTATTTTTATTCTGCCACTGGAGCTCGGTAGCTCACACTCATTCATTCGTGCTTTGGGGGAATTTGGCATCAGAGACGTTTTCCAGATTGGCAGCTGAGCGTAGATTACGACAATTCGCGGCTGCTTCGAGAAGGACCAAGAGGGAAAAAATCGAAACAGGAGAGACTGCTCCTCCACTTATCGAGCCCTTTACAGTGAGTCTTAGCCGCTATACTGCTTTCGCCCTTCGTTCTACCCCCGAGCTGGTATTTGGGGTTGCCAGCGTTTCCAATAGCTCACAATCGATATCTGAGTTGATCGATATAAGTGGATTACTATGTTCTGGAAAATGGAATCAATTTTCAGGAGCTGCCCAAGGCTGAAATGCTTCGGCTTTCTCTGACGGTAACCCAAAATCTTCGTGGTGGCAAATTCAAACCTAGCATTGCCGAATCTGTTACGGTACCATATGATAGCAAGGATTTCAA